CCCCCAAATCACTATAAAAAAACCCCATTTTGACTAATATTTCCTGGGCCGCAGGCAAATTTTTGAAAAAAAACTGGTGAAATAAGGCGTAAAATTTTGACCAAAAAACCGCGGTTTTTTCGGCGCGCGCTCCCCCCCTCAAAATTGGAATAATTTGGCGACGAAGGAAAATTTTAGGGTCAGTCAACCAAAAAGAGATTTTTTAAAATAGTACAAAGGGAGTTTGACAGTACAAAAAAATTTGGATCGGTAGGGGGTCGAATCCCCGTGGGGGGGGGAGTCTGCCTCCAGCAACTTGCCCCCCCCCCCCTAAATCCGCTGGTGGTTTTATAGTATTTTATGAGAACTAGAAAAACCACCTTGGTGAAATAAAAAGCCAGCATTTGTACCCAACAAACACTATCAAAAGCATTAGAAGGGAGAATGATCACTTTCAAGATTGCGAGAAAGGGTTCTGCAGAGCGTAACAGCGAAGAAAATATAGAAGATCTTTACAACTATGCATTGTGGACCATGAGCCTTGACGTCATAAGTTCGCGAAAAAACTTTGTGGATGAACTTGGTGTAAAAATCCACATGCGGCGTACTAAAGGGCAATCTGCTAAGGGTGAAAGAGCTTATAGAAAGGTCAGTGCTCAAAAAGGACCCAATGTTATAATCTGTTGCGTAGTTTCCACGGCAGTCCTTTTGCATTATCAGGTAATTCAAGGAGGAATGAAGACAGAAATTTTAAAAATTTTCTCGAAGTTCTATGTGGAAACATTATCCTTGACAAAGGGAACGATGCTGATGGATTTTGTATATTTGACAATGCTCCCGGGCACAGAGGAATCGAATATATGGACCTTAGTGGAATATTCCCTCTGAAGAGGCTCCCAAAGTACAGCCCATTACTAATTTTGGTTGAAGCTGCAATTTCGTGCTGGAATGCGGCTATGAAACGAAAAATGCAAGAGGAGATGGGTTTGTTCATCAACGCTGATGCCTTGAAGGAGCCAGGACAAACGCTTCAGGATTACCGTTTCATTCATGTCAAATCTATTGTGGAACGAATAAGTTGTGAGATTACCCCAAAGAAATGTGTTGGTTGGTTGAATCATACGATGACTTATATCCCGGATTGTTTGGCCAGGAATAAAATATGAACAATGGATGTTGCATAAAAACCGTTGATTTTGTATATTATATTCTGTTCTTATTCGTTTGAAATAACATGTTTTCAATTGAAGTCACTTGTGAGCACTCCATCGTTTTTCTTTTCCTCAGAGCTTACGAAACAAATTTTCTTTCAAAAGAAGTTACGTATAGTTTTTTTCAAATTACCGATTGTTCGATAGGCATTGAAAAGGTGAGAAATGGAACTTAGATAAACTTAATTTCATTACAGCCAAAGTTTTAGTATCAGTTTTTATGCCTAAGCCCACCCGAACTTAAATTTTTTATCTAACACTGGTGGTTCACTTCAAACGCTATTATGCGCACCAACCATTTGAGCGAATCAACAAATAATTGAAAAACTCAAATAGGAAATTTTGCTTTGCTTGAACCAGTAATATGCCCCTAGGTTTTGTGATAGCTTTTTTCCAGTCAAACATCAGCCCAGCAAATAAGACGAAAAGGCTACTATTATCAATTTTCATCAACATTGATTATCATAAATGATGGTAAAAAAATTATGAAATTCAAACAGGAAGGACAATTTAATTAGTTTGTCGGCCAAATCATAGTTCAGCGTTTAAAACTCACAGAGCGTCAAGCTACAAAGTCAGCCAATTTTGCACTGATAAAAAACGCTGTTGGAGTTATTATTTAACCCGTTCGATCGATCTATCAATCTTTCTTAACCTAAAATCAAGAAAATTTTGCTTTGCTTGAACCAGTAATTTGCCCCTAGGTTTTCTTACCGCTTTTTTCAAGTCAAACATCAGCCCAGCAAATAAGCCGAAAAGCCTACTATATCAATTTTCACCAACATTGATCATCATAAATGATGGTAAAAAAAATATGAAATTCAAACAGGAAGGAGAATTTAATTAGTTTGTCGGCCAAATCGTAGTTCAGCGTTTAAAAATCACAGAGCGTCAAGCTACAAAGTCAGCCAATTTTGCACTGATAAAAAACGCTGTTGGAGATATTATTTAACCCGTTCGATCGATCTGTCAATCTGAGACATCCGGTTCCGCGAAGTGAAGATGTTTTTCCAAACTAGAGATCACAGAAAAACATCAGCTTCTTCACATGTAAAATCATGAAAAAATTCTATAAGTTAAAATGTAACAAAAAATAACAAAAACTTGTTTTTTTTCGTTGTGATAGGGGCAGAAGCTAGAAGCGGATTCAGGACCCCTCGGTGATCCGACCCTCTAAGTGCCTTTTTTGGTACTAGCTTACTTCACACATTTTTGGCCGACCAACCCAAAAAAAAGTTCGTTTTAAAGTAATTGATTATACTAATTTTATATGTCTAAAAAAAGGTAACTTTTGGTAAACATTTTCTAAAAAATGCCCATATACGGCTATTTTGGCCTGGCCTCTTTTTTCAAAAAAGGGCAGGGAGATTTTCAAAAAAAAAATTCAAACATTTTGTGGACTTTTTTTAGGTCGACGGGGACCAAAATGTTGATTTTTTGAGATCCCCCAAATCACTATAAAAAAACCCCATTTTGACTAATATTTCCTGGGCCGCAGGCAAATTTTTGAAAAAAAACTGGTGAAATAAGGCGTAAAATTTTGACCAAAAAACCGCGGTTTTTTCGGCCTGCGCTCCCCCCTCAAAATTGGAATAATTTGGCGACGAAGGAAAATTTTAGGGTCAGTCAACCAAAAAGAGATTTTTTAAAATAGTACAAAGGGAGTTTGACAGTACAAAAAAATTTGGATCGGTAGGGGGTCGAATCCCCGTGGGGGGGGGAGTCTGCCTCCAGCAACTTGCCCCCCCCCTAAATCCGCTGGTGGTTTTATAGTATTTTATGAGAACTAGAAAAACCACCTTGGTGAAATAAAAAGCCAGCATTTGTACCCAACAAGCACTATCAAAAGCATTAGAAGGGAGAATGATCACTTTCAAGATTGCGAGAAAGGGTTCTGCAGAGCGTAACAGCGAAGAAAATATAGAAGATCTTTACAACTATGCATTGTGGACCATGAGCCTTGACGTCATAAGTTCGCGAAAAAACTTTGTGGATGAACTTGGTGTAAAAATCCACATGCGGCGTACTAAAGGGCAATCTGCTAAGGGTGAAAGAGCTTATAGAAAGGTCAGTGCTCAAAAAGGACCCAATGTTATAATCTGTTGCGTAGTTTCCACGGCAGTCCTTTTGCATTATCAGGTAATTCAAGGAGGAATGAAGACAGAAATTTTAAAAATTTTCTCGAAGTTCTATGTGGAAACATTATCCTTGACAAAGGGAACGATGCTGATGGATTTTGTATATTTGACAATGCTCCCGGGCACAGAGGAATCGAATATATGGACCTTAGTGGAATATTCCCTCTGAAGAGGCTCCCAAAGTACAGCCCATTACTAATTTTGGTTGAAGCTGCAATTTCGTGCTGGAATGCGGCTATGAAACGAAAAATGCAAGAGGAGATGGGTTTGTTCATCAACGCTGATGCCTTGAAGGAGCCA